TTATAAGGCCTAGCTGTGCAATATGGGAATGAAATCTTCTTGACCCATCCAGAGATCACTTTACCGTATAAGCATACAGGCTTTTCTTCTTAAGTTGGTTTTGATGAGGCTGCTAAATCATAACCCACCTATGAATAGTTATTGCTATTTTCAATGTTATTGCAGTAAATAAGCACAAGAATGAGGCATGAGGCTTGGCCTCACAGTCACTAATATTTCAGCAATTTTTTTTCATTAGAGTAAGCCATTCACAGCTTCATTTGGCTCCGTTACCTTGAGTTTTGACAGTTGTCCAAGATCTTTGGCTGCACTGAATATCATCTGGGGCCCCTGTAATCACATTGAAAACTCAGGAAGCAGAGTCACTACAGTGCGTTTGCTTTTTATGTCAACACGATCTTATTTTCTGCTAGGACATTAGCCAAAGTCACTGTTTTACAAAGCTAAATAAGAATTTCAATTACATGAGACATATTTTCATTCAGTTGATAAGGCCAAGTAGTTGAATGCCCACAGCACCATTCCCTTCAGCACCCCATACTTGAGAGAAATATTGTGTTCTGTTAACAGTGGTTTCATGTGCTCCTGTCTGCTATCTTGTTTACTCTTTAATATTTTTAAGCTAAGGCTAGGATTGTTCTTGTACAGTGTGTCAATAATCAGAGCTCTTAGGTGCTATGCTAATATAAATAATCATGGTGGGAAATGAGCAGCCCCGAGGAGCATGCAGAAGTGGAGCATGCAGAAGTTTATCTGTTTACAGTGAAATCCTCAGCTGAGCAACACACAGCGTAACGCCATACTGTTAAACCAAAGCCATTATTTTAAGGAAAGATACCAGATTATTATGAAGTTACACCAATATTTTACAATAGCCAAATCTGGATATGATACCAAAGACCAACGTCTACATGTTTCTCCTAGACAAACAGAATCCTACCATAACTCCATGCTCACACTTTTATCACAATTACACCAAGAAATAGAAGTACTAGTGCAATTGCTTGGCCCTTCAGCAAGACATAGTTCTGAATATCTGGTTTTCAGGGGAAAAAAAGAAAAAGTCAGTCCAACTTACAGAGCACAATAGAGAACAATTTTTCATTAGTCTTTCTATTCCAAAATGTTTCAGTTTCCAAAAATATTTCTTCTGTATGATTCAGTTGCAAAAGTTATAAGGTAGCCTGCAGCTTAAATTTTCCTTGTTTGTTAGTAGTGAGAATGGTAAGATAAATATGAAAATATAGAGGCTACCTCTAGTAAAACCCAGCAGCTGGTGACGTGTAGCATGCACAGATACAGTGAGCACTCAAAGCCTAATCCAGTAATCTTTGTCCATATTTTTCACGCTCCTTAGTCATTATAGACTACATATTTAAAATACTGTATTGTCTACTATACAAATTTTGAGCAAAATTTGGAAAAAAAATATGCTGCAGACAATTTTCTAGTCAGAGGCTCATGTTTCTTAAGCGTGTGTGGAGAAGCAAGGGCCCTTGCAGTTTTTTGAAGAATGGGGGCAAAGCACTTGTGGAAATCTCAGCTGTCATCATTTAAAACGATCTTTAAGAGTCTTGAATGATAGGCACCGTCTGCCTTTAATCTGGGACTGGCTGATAAGCAGAACCCTTTTTATCTTTGGCCACTAACTAGTCTAAGATCCACCCAGAAGACTCTTCATTCTAGATGAGGGGGAAGGAGGGGTCCTTGTCTTTGCTACCTCACCTCCCCTTCTGTGTTCTGCCTGATATGCATATGTTTTGCATTTCAGATGTAGACCCCTAGCTTAATGAAGTGTCAACTTGCTAAACTAGTGCCTGCAATAAGCTTTTTTTTGAAATGGGCTATAACATCAGTGTCATAGCCTATTGCTTGGTGTGATTTCTGAGCACCAGTAAGGACAAGAGAGGTGCTTGCAGGTTCAAATCTGCAGACTGAAATCTGGTTTCAGTTGGCAGTCAAAGGTAATTTTCACTATGGTCGAAAGACTAAAACCTATTCATTATTTTGTATATAAAGGTCTACATTGAAACTCTTGAGGGAAAATGTTTGAAAAACCATTTTACTCTCTGAACTGAACCATATTGTGCTATTGTTCAAGTGGGCTTACGAAGTCTTTGGCAGGTAATTCTGTATTCTTGGCAACCAATGAAAAAAGCAACAGAAAACCCCCTTAACTCTGAACTATGCTGTTCTATGAATCAGAGTGTAACAACTGATCTTGTGTAACGATAAAAAATGCTCCTAACACCTGATGGGAAATGCGGTTACCCAATATAAATGCTGCTTAAGTATTTGCAGATAAAATTTTAACGAAAATATTTGAAAGCAAGCAAGTTAAAAATCTCAGAAATATAAATCTGACCAAGTTACTAATTGAAAGAGGAGTTGTTTCTAATTACCCATAGTAAACAAGAGCATGAGAGTAGATAGGAACAAATTCAGTGAATGAAGTCTTGGCTACGATCTGTGATTAGCTCTCGTCTAGAAAAGCTCATGTTATTTCATTACTACCTTAACACCATTTATTATACGTGTTCTATTAGATTTCCTCTTGCCTCTCCAGCAATATCCTTTCATGTATCTTTAATGTATTATAATATGATTTAATTATGTCTTCAACCTATGGATACTGACCAATAGATTTTTACCATTTTAACTAAAGCTATCAAAGGCTGTATACAGTGAAGTTGCCCAAAGGCACGCTACGGCAATCTCATGATTAGCTTGCATAAGGACCGTGAATTTATTCTAAGATAAGATTGAAAATGAGAAGAATTAATATTTATGTTAGCCAGTCCCTCAAACAAGCAATAAAAAAAAAGGGACTCCAAGCCAGGCTCTTTTTCTTTTGTCCTTAGAGAGAATCAGATTTTCCTGGTGTCCTCAGCTCTGTCAGGGTTCATGTCAGGCCATCACCCACACTGGGCTGGTGTGAAGCAGCACTACTTTCTGTTATTAACTTACCCTTTCTTTCCCTCTTCTTGTCAGGCTATAAATGTAGCCCTGCCCAAAAAGGACCTCCTATCAAGGCTGCTATTAAAATACCCCAAAACTTTAGAGTGAAAATTAGCTTAAGCTTCCTGACATTAAGTGCTGCCTTAAGATGAGGAAGAGCTCAGAGGCAGGACTGGAGAATGGGATGGGGCATTCCAAAGTGATTGAATTTGTGGTGCAACTGGGAGGGACAAGGAACACTGTTACTGTGCATGAGGAAGTCACAAGAAATCAAACTCAAGAGCCATTATTGGAAGAACACTACAAAGACAGTGGTTTGGCTTCCTTTGTATTGCATTCATAAAAACTGCTCCGAGTTGGAGCAGGACATATATGAAAGAGCAAGGTCTCCCTCCCCAGCTCCACTACTTTGAAACACAGGAGAGCAGTACACTGCATCCAGCCAACATATCATTCCTTCTGGTCAAGGCACAGAAAAGGACAGTTATCAGCCCCCTTGGAAACACCCGATTAAGCACATTACAAACCTTCACAGCGCATGTGAACTACTGCTGGGACACTTACGGTTTGGTCTGTCAGTGGTGGAAGCACAATTTGTTTTTCTATTTTGTTCAAGACTAACTTCCATAGCTCCTTTAGAACCCGTTTCAGGACTGTCTTCTCACAGATTTTTGCAGAGACACTTAAACTGGAATAAAACAAAACACAAACCAATGGCTTACTTATTTTGCAATATAAACGGTAAATCTCTTTGGTGGGGGGGAAAAAAAAATACTTGCAGATCATAAAATAACGTAAATCTTCACTATCCAATTCATGACTTAATATATTACAGATATATATTTATCAAAAATGCAAGATGATGATGAGTCACAAAATTTGATGAATAATACAATTTAGCAATCCCAGGCCCCCAAATTAAAGTTTTGGTATATAATTTGTTTACGTCTTAACAATAAAAACCAGATGTCTCCTTGTTGTGTTGTATTTCTACTGTGGTGTAAAACTAAGTGTCAACAGCTAATGCAAATTCAGGGCTACTTTTTGGAAGCATTTATTTCTGTATAGTGGCATATCTGTGCAATCATACTACCTATTACCAACAGTAAAATTAAATTTTTGGAGAATCTATATATGTTGATTTTTTTTTTAAATTTTAAGAGTATATTCATAAACCATCTTCTGTGTAACACCATGAATAAGCAGCATCATGAATAAAGTGCTGCAATTTACAGGCACAGGAAAAAATATGTCAAAATAATATCACACAGATTTATATGTGGGGAATTTTACAGGATTCTAATCTATTAATGTAAAAAAAAAGATTATTGTAAACTCATGATACATATCACATCATAAATATGCCAATTCCTATTTCTAGCTTCTCTTACAACTCTCAGTAAGCACATAAATAAAATTAAGAAATAACTAAAACCCAAACCATATTAACATGACATGTTTATAATCCTACTATAAACATACATTTGTAAGAAATGTGATATTCCCTAGCAGTGTGTGTGTGTCTGTTTTCTTCTTTTAAATTTCACATATTTATTTTCTGTGCAGGGGTTTAGCATCTGCTAAAATTCCATTTAACATTTCTGTGGTAAGGAATAATTTCTATTCGGACAGTAATTTAAAACCCATTTTTGTTTTCACTATGTCATTATTGGATTAAATCTCAAAGAAGCTATAAAAATGGCTCTGAGAAATGGCAATTTGGAATCAAACCTGACAGGCCAAAGTCAGCTTACCCATCTTTCTAAGCGATGAGCTTATGATAGCACATGTAAGTGCATAAACACTTTTGGCTTTTCTTCAAGATGTGCTAGGAGTCAACTCAAAGACAGTTAAGGTGTAAAACTATACTGCTTGAAAGCAACACAAACCCCTCTTGTCACTTAACACATAGGATTAGGTAGATTGCTAAAAACAAAAGGCTGACATATAGATAAAGCAGCTAAAAAGGCTAGGAATCCAGGCCTGGCACTTGAGAGTGTTGCAACAACAGTCAAATCTTATCGAGTACATTAAATAAGTATTTACCTATTGCCAGCTGTCACTGATACTCATATAATTGCCAAAGCCCTCAAAAAACGAAGCCTAGAAAAATCAACCCCCCAAAGAAAAACACAAGTCGCCTTCAATGCTGCCCCCCCATCCTTTATGCCAGTGGCTTTTAGACTTCAGCTATGCATATGTACAGCCAGGACCCGAGAGGCTCGTCATGTTTCAACACAGCAAGCCCATCTGCCCCATTTTTAGAAACAACAAGACTGTGAAATAAGGTCCTGGAGAAAGAAAACTTGAAATCAGACTTTGACTTGGGTCTTACTTGTCCCAGCATGAGGAGCCCAGAGAAGCATCCTGCACCTCCAGCTGCTAGTGATCATAGACGCACAGCAGTCTGTCAAAAGCATAAACCCAAACCTGCGTGGGGAACTGTGACTCCGAACAAGTTTCAATTGGGATGGCAGGTCACCACCAGTGACACCAGATAAGCATAGAGCGAAGTGGAGTAACGTGATTTGTACAACCTTACAATGCAGAAGACAAAGACAGGCTCCTCTGTCCAGGAGAAACATGTGTAAGGAAGCCAAAGGCTAAAGAATGTGTCACTCACGTATGTGTGACTGGAGACCTGAAGCGTGGGAGCAGTGTCACACTGCTTGTTCTCACAGCTACTTCCAGAGGCCACCGAAGTTTCAGTACCAGTGATGGTGTGACCAAGGACACTGAGGTACTACACGTGCCTGTGCTGCCCATGGTCTTGCAGAACAGTTGATCCTGTCACATGATGTCCTTACTTGCAAAGCCCTGAGTGAGTTTTTGCCAGACTACTAGAAAATTTAGCTTTTTACTGACTGAAAAAAATCAAGCTGCTCCTTAAATCTTTAAATAGGGACCAGGTTTTTGGGGACACGGACGTGCATGTTAAAAAGCACTTGGGTGTCAGCCGAGGACAAATGCCAGACAATTTCATTACAGGGAATTTGCTTCTGTTCTTTGGTTCAGTGCAATCTTCCTCACACCACAGTCCCAGGAGGACAGACCGTACAGTAGCTCCTTTGTAACGACTTGACACATGACAAGACGTTGAAAGGCAGATACGTAGCTGATGTAGAAACTGCTTAGTGGCAGTAAACAGGTTAAGCACAGAATTCTGTAAACATGTAAATACTACAAATATTAAAAATAATACAGAGTATTTTTAGGTATTAGTGATGCTTCAGGGTAAAACCAAGTATGCTCGACTGCAGCATTCAGTTCCTAATCTGCCACACAAACCCGTCCGCCACACTTACGTTTTGTCCAAGAAATCCATGAGAGGCCGAAGCACAATCTCTGCATCAATGGCCGCACTGTTCTTATTGAGTGCTGCATTCCCATTTCCTCTCATTTGATTCAGTTCATTGCCCATCTGTCTTACACAATCTTCAATAATAAATTGGAAACTACAGGATCAAAAAAAAAAAGAATGGAAGAATTCTGGGTTAGGAAACAAAGTTTAGCATTTTGCATCAGGTTCTTCAACAACGTTTAAGTCTTCTCTGCAGTGATGCAGAAGTTCACAAATGCAAGATAATGCAGGCGTTACATACTGAAAATAACTCCTTTTAAGGATTTGCAAGAGCGGCCTCGTGGTATTTTGCTAGCTGGAGTTAAACCATGACAGTAGCTCATGTAACTGATGCATTTACTATTTTGATTCCCTCCCCCCCTCTTCTTTCCAATCTCTCATTATAATTTTAATGCCCTTGTAGGGGTGCCAATTAATTATTTTCTGAAAGCAATAGATGTAACAGGATCTGTAGTTTAGGGAATGACTGACTACCAGCTAGCAACAACTTTGCAAGATTTTATTTTTGGTGTGAAAGGACAACAGGAACAGGTGTCTATGAAGAATTTTTCTCTTGATGGTTAACATGAACCAAGCTTTGATAATCTTCTTGAGGACAAATAGAAAACTTCTACTGCTTTTGCCTTGTTTGCCACAGTTTGGATTGTCCTGGGTTTCAGACATTGCTTATGAAAACATTTGGAATGTTTAAAACACTTTTACAGAGAAAAAACCATAAAAACCAAAAAAACCCCAAAACCAAAACACCCAATAAGAGGTAGGTAGACTTTTCCTAGTGGAAGGAGTCTTTTCCTCTGGAAGTTGAGTGTGAACAAATTCTTGCTCCTCAAGTTGCATCTGTCCAGCTTTTCAGAAAACGGTTCTGTTTCCTAACTGATGTGGTTGAGCAACATGTCTGACAGTCTTGCGGTGTCATTGATGTGACACAGCCTTCAGTCAATATATTTAAAGAATGCAGAACAGCACTTAGTCAGAGTCAACAGTTCAGAGGTAGAATAAGGCTCTGCACACATGGTAATTAGGTTTATGAGTTGATTTACGATTAATTCAATGGTTTAGGATAACTTTATGAACAGAAATGCAAATCAGAGGCCATAAATATACCAGGCCTATTAATTTGAAAAGATAAATGGCAAAGATTAACTTCAGGAAATTCAAGGAGAATTTACTATGAGAAAAGAAATAATTAGGCAGTAAGTTCTTCCTGCTACATGGCTAATCATAAAAAGAGAATGCCAATCTCCATGTGAAAACACTGGAGAATTTGGAAACTTAGAATTCTGAGTACATTTGTGTGTGTACTTACCCGTACACTTCACAGCAGCTTCAAAATCAGTGTGGAGCTGCTATTGGGGCTGCTCATGGAAATCCTCGGGACCAGCCTCTCTGATAAAAGCCAAATTAATGCATTGGGTTTCCCTGGCGTTAGCCACCTTCCTAACACTGTCAGCCTCACAAACCCCAGCCATACACTGACCCTTGAGGAATGTTCTAGCTATCTGGAGCATATCCTAGACTGAGCTATTGCTGTCTTTTCTTTTGCAGAAACCTAGTTGTCTCATTCAGAAAGAAACCCTCATAAGAAATAATATTCACGCACTGTCAGTAATCAGAGAACCAGGCCCTGGGAGCAAAAATAAAGCAAGACAGTATGACAAGCTAATAGCACAGATAAAAGTGAACACTGTCCACCAAGAGGGTTCAGCGATGGATTAAATAAGCAACTACAGACTTCACTTAATGAATACCACTGCAGCACTAATCCCTCTTTCCTAGATTCCTTTCTAATTTGAAGCAAAAATAACTTGCAGCTTCTTATAGCACAGGCTCTGTTGGCATAGCACCATACCCATTCAAGTCTGAAATGTACACTCTGACTAATGAAAGATTTTGAGAGTAAGGCTCAGTAGACAATTTTTGCAGAGCCACAGGCAAGCAAATGACCCAAGAGGGCCATTGCAGTGACCGTTTCAAGCAGGCTAAACATAGGCAGACATCCCTGGTTGAAGCAGGCCACTTGGAAAAAGCTGTCAGTCTCAGGAAGTAATGTAACCGCGGTCAGGGAGAAAAGTTAAACACAGCAATAGGCAGGGCCAAACCAGCAATTTCTGTTTTGTGAAAAGCAGAACAAAAAGTCACCAGCCTCACCCCTGTAACATGTTCATGCCCACAGGCCGTTTTCAGTTGGGAGGTTACTGCTATATGTTTGAGTCTAACCACATACACACACACAAATGCACATCACTTCATCAGGGCAGAAGCAAGCTGTCCCTCAGGACACCCAAACACCCACCCAGACTTAACTAAGGAGGCACATTTTTGAACAGGACTATTCCTCTAAGGTTTGCACTAAGACAGGCTTGTTACCTTGTGGCGTACGTTACGCTGAGTTGGTCCAATACATTGCTAAGTTTCACCTGAAGTTCTTTTAGTACAACACTAGCTTCAGGATCCAGCTGCAAAGAGACAAATCATGTTATATTTTACTTAGACACTATGCTTTCGGGTTTTCCATGGCAATTAATGAATTAGGAATCATATGCATTGATGCACTGCACCATGGAAGACTAAATGTGGAAACACCTGTTACAACACAGGATTGCTTTAGTAGGCCTGAAAGTCCAATTACTGTTTACAGGAAAATATTTGATTGTAATTGTGAAGAATTATAATCTTAGAGCTCCAAACTGTGCCACTGAACAATGGCTTTCTATAGGATGGTGCAAATTGTGTTGGCAGTCACTAGAATAAAATTACCATTATTAGGCAAATGGTATTCATAAGGCATACCGAGAGAAGGACACACAAGAATTTAGTGTTAGCAATTCTGCAGATGTTGGGTGGGGTTTTTTTTGGTATATTTCACCACCACTGGTAATTTTTTGGGATTTGTGTGGAAGATGTTTCCATGTTCCCATTAATGCTGCGTAAAAGCAGAACAGCCAGCACGGGAAAAGACTTTTTAAAAACTCTCCATGCTGCTTCTACTGGTACAATATGAGGGAAGGGAACCTACTGAATTTCGGTACTTTGGTTTCTGCAAGCCATTAAGACATACATAATTCAAGCACAGGGCAGCACATTCTGATGCACAGGGAGAACAGCTCCTGTACCTCAGATACAGGATTTCTAAACACAGGAAAGAAGAGAATGCAGGGGAGAACTATAGTTTTACATTTACAGGGATGGGGATCCATGCATAGATATTTAATCAAGGTACCCTGTTAATATTGATCAGCAGCTTGTTTATTTGCTATGCATTCCTTTCCAAACTTAAAAAGCTTTGAGATTTTGTGTTCTTTTTAGCATTTATGAAAAATAGTTACACGACATTGTGGGATATGATCAATGATCATCAGGATCAACGGTTGGATGTGATTTAACAGCTGATGCTCCAGGTCTTTCAGCTATTTACATCACAACGTTAAGGAATGATTTTCAATGATAATCCTCAAATTCTGGGCTCTGTGCCGCAGTAAGGTCAGATACAATTCTTCTGAAAATCTCAAATGAAATTGTGCATTTAGATTACAGCATCAGGTCTGTCTCTACTTGCGTTTTTCTATCTTTCAACTACATGAGTAGTCTTTAGAGCTTATTCTTCATCTGATGCTTCAGAGTGCTATGGTGAAGTAGGTCAGCTCTTTTAATCACAGTTTAGAGACAAGGGGAAACTGTGCCAGCACACTGGATAATTTACATGAGACTGTGCAGGAATTCTAAGGCAAAGTAAATAATAAACAAACTCTGAAACACCCCCAAAGGTCTACTCTGTTCTAATCTTAGACCATCCTTTCTCTCCTTAGAGGTTAGGTATGGTTTAAAAACATAGAAAATCCAAGATTTTCACCTCAGTTTTTGACAAAAATCTGAAATAGGTGAGAAGAGGAATTGATGTATACCCCATAAAAGATATTCAGTTATGTGTAGCACTTTTCTAATCTGAGAATTTTGACTACTTACTGATTTAGTTTTTAACTACTTTACACTGAGAATTGTGTTGGTTCTCCATGTCTTAGTGCTTTGGCTGGCAGATACACTCTGACAGCTAACGCACTTAAAGTGATTGTTTTCCTTCATATGAAAAGCAGGGATAAAAAAGCTAATTTTACTGGAATGTTTAAGATTAGTTAACAAAGCTAGAGTTTACTAACAAAAGCAAAGAATTTTCCAGGAAGTGCATTTCACTAGGGAATTATAATGCATCCTTTAGGTGGGATACAGAAGGCAAATTTAAGACCACTTGAATATTAACATTCAACAAATACTGAACAAGCATTCACACTGGATACGGTACATACCCAAGAAAGCACAAATATACCAGGCAGGCAGAAGACTTAAAATTTCTTACCAGATCATGCACAAGCTAAAGAATCATCTTGTTACTGGGACTAGAAAGGCCAATGTAGTTACTTTCTATCAGACGTGGTTGTGATAACCAGAAAACACAATATAGTTGTGAAATTCACCATGAATTGGACTTGGTTTAGCCAAAATTGGGTTAAATACTACTATCAGGTTGTGGACATCACACACATTATAGGAACGTGCATGCAAGTGCTAGAAGATTTAGAGGGCTTTGTGCTCACAAATTGCATGAACAAGTTTCTGTGTGCACAGCTGGAGGCATCTGGCAGGACATCCAGCCGTGTGTATACACATGCTCATGCTTATTAATGCAGTGTCAAAGGGAGGAGTGGAAGACAAAGAGGTATGCGGGCTGACCATCCACTAGACAACTAGTGCTGTTCTCATGACTGTGCTAGCAGGACTTTTAAAATGCCCATTTTTATTTTTAACTACTGGAAAATATGGTAATTTGAGTGTCCCAGCAGGGCTGAAATGTGCACTTTTCATTTCTCTTATGGTGTGCCCTCTACGTACTAGTGACTTCTCTGGCCAAATCAGAGGGTTTTCAGGAATCAGCCCTTGACTAGCATCGTCCCAGTATACCACAGCCATGGCCTGCACTTCAGAACTACCCTGCTTACGTCTGGGTCTCTGTCATCCCATCAGAGTCTTTAGGACAACACATAGGTTCCTATAGGAAATTCTAAGCATTACATCTAATGTTGGAACAGAACTTACTGGAGTGGAAATTTGTTTTACCTACAGTCAATGTAATACTGTCGAACATAAACAACGAACTTTCACTTTCAACCTTTTTTTTGATCTTAATTGCTGCAACTCATCTCTGCCATGTTCTGCCATCTGGTGAAGAGCAACACAAGTATTAACTTACTTTCTTTCCCTTTTATCAGCTTCCAAATTGTCAGACATGAAAAAATGATTTAGTGCAAATGTATGCACCCTGTTTGTACGAACCAAACAGGAGCTAAACCAAAATTCTACATTATGATAATCTGGTCCCAGGATTTTGAACTTGATCTTTTAAAAAAAGATGGTTAGATCCCACTTTACTACTCTTTATTATGGCAGACTGATGACTTTTATATGATTTTTAAGTACCTTTTCTGCTTGTCTACAGCAGAAGAGGAGAGTTAATAAAGAAACTCATATTGTTCAAACTATTTTGTTTTAATGGCAGGAGAGCCGAGAGCCCAGTTTTTTCTCTATTTATAGGGCTCCCTACCCTGCAATATGCAACACGCCTACTCTGAACGTAGGGACTGCTGCTGCATTGTGGTATTTTGACTGCACACTTTGAAAGATGTACTTGCTCACAATGTGACACTGAGGAGATTAACAGCATTTAATTTTTCTTAGAATTAGTTTTGCTTCAACTGAAATAGGTCTCATTATTCGGCTGAAAATCATCTGACTTCTTATGGCCTCTACAAGCAAAAAATTAAACTATTTTCTCCCTGCAAGGAAACTGCTTACAGATTTTATTGCTGGCTTCGTTTCTTGTAAGTACAAGTTCAGTAAGGCAAATTGGCCATTAGCGTTTATGTACATGGAATAGCTAGGGGAATAAGTATTCCAATTTGAGGACATACCTTTTAGAGGCACTTTGATATGGGTGACAAAAAATTGAACATGAATGTACTTTTCTTCAAAAACTCCCCTAATGAGAAACAAACAACTCTTTGAAGGTATTTTTTACATCTTTTTTCTTAGACCAAGAATACGAGATGAGGTACCTAAGGTATCTAACACAGGGATTTTAGAAAAACAGCTCTGAATTCACTCCAAGGGTTGCAAGTTACACCACATTTGTAACCAATGTTGCTTTGATACTGTAACACCTTAATAATTCATCTCATTAACATCAAAAGGGAAAGGAAAAAGGATGAGAAGCGATGAGAGTTTTTGAAAGAAAACTGCTATAAAAATCCCAAATTTTTAATTGTATTTTTACTCTATTTTTTATTACATAAGCTATTAGGAGCAAAAGGAAAAATAGTATTTTCTTGAGGAAAATGGAAAATTCTAAGATTCAAGAAAATATTCTGATGTGGAAATAATTTGATAGCTATAGACATAAAGTGCTACTCAGCTTTCCTCTGCCCTTGTCTTTATCAGGATTTATGGACACTCAGGGGTTTTTATGACTTAAGACACTGAAGATGTAGGATTAGATCCAAGTACAAAAGTACTTTCCACAGAACATAAGAGTGTGGAAGACAAGATCATTTGTAATATTCGGAGAGTGAAAGGGGGTTGGGGTTAATAGGAACTACAAAAACCATAGCCATGTCTTCATGCTAAAGATAGAATTTTGAAGTTTGATATAAAATGTTCAATGACAAGGTTGCAGAAGTTTATTTCACATTCTCTGAAGCAGAAAGTATTTTTGACATGGCAGCTTCAAGAAGCTACTCCTAGCTCAGCAAAACCTCTCTACCATGGAGCTAATCTGTAGTTTTGTTTGGAAGGTGCTATTCATTGCATGACACAGAGGACTCTCTTACCTCTGCAGCATCCCTCAGTGGGTGTGGAAATACAAAATAATGTGGTTTTCTCTCTACAATGTGGTCACATTAGATCTAAGTTTTGTGAAACTACCAAACTTGTCTCAATAGAAAAAGCTGATATATGTGTAACTTCTTTTTTAAAAGTCAGCTACTGAAAATAAGGATAATATATTCCTGATGATAACATATTCCATTGCTTTTTAACAAGACAACAGGATTCTGTAACTTGAAAAGTTGTCAATTTCTTCATTAGTTTTCAAAACTGCCAAAAACTACAATCAGCAAAGTACTGAAGCATATGTTTATGTCCTTTACTATTGACAGGACTTTAAGGCACTTGTAAGCCTTCTGAAATAGAAAGGAGATAAAGCTAAGCATGTTCTGGACTGTTCTGGACTGTTGCGTAGCAGCCCCTGGTGAAATGGTGCCAAATCTTGAACACAAACAGACCCTCCGACACTGAAAAGTGCACTTAAAAATGTTTTACGTATTTTTTAGAAATTCTGAAAGACTTTACACTGTCTGCCTAGCAAAACTTTTCAATTTAGAGTGTCAACTGAACGCCCAAGCATAGCTCTTTTTGATTTTTAAATCATAGTAGGGAATTACACAAATGCATCAATGGAAATTAGTAGGAAATGTGACTTTTCTTAGCCTTAGAAAATATGGTCAGGAATAATAAAAGATGCTTACTATCACAAACCTCATAAGAGAATCTCTCTCCTTCTTTCTTCTGCTCAGTGGATTGCAAGTCAAAGGCATTAGACAAAGACATGACACATTACAGACAAAGCACAAAGCACATATTCTACAAAATTTTCAGATACAGGCAAAACATACCAATACATAAAAAAGCAAAGTGTAGTCCAATACAAACATTACAGTGAAGCTGGCACTACAGGTTACAACACACAACACCCAGTGCTGGTTGAACTTTACAGATCATTAGCATGTGGCTGTGAAATAGCGCTAGGTCTTTCTAGTATTGTCAGGACATTAAATAGTTTGTGTAGACTTTCATATTTAAACATTTTGATTTTCTTTACGAAAGTGAAGGCTGTGACTTGGTTGAAAACATGATGCTAATGATCTCTAAGGAGCTTTGGATGAACCAGGAAACAAATAAGACTCACCTCCTTTCCTCCCATGGACTCAAACATTTTCTCAAGCTGGACTCTCAATTGTTGAATGTTGTTCATCAAGATGCAGGCCTACAAAGAGAGCACCAAATGCGAGAATGTGTACCTTATGTTCGTTTTATGTATGAATATGTGTATTCACAGCCTCTGGGCTCAAGGTAGGTTCTTTGTAGACCTACATTCATGTGACTGTTCTTTAGAGGAGGATCTCGGGTTCTTGGCTGCTGTCTCCCCTTCCTTCTTTAATTCACACTCCTCTCTGCCCCGTCAGCAAAGCCCCTCACCTAGTGAACACCCAGTATGTCCTTAAAACAATGTTGCCCCACAGGAAACTGGATACCTGCTCCCAACCAGCTGGGCAGTTTTCAGATCCCAGTGTTTCACTTCCTGAACCTTGAATCTCATGTAGCTGTTAGTCATACTTAGTACAATTACATCTGGTGGATTAGTACTAGTAGTACATTACCGCCTCTTTGAGAGTAGACACAATACTGATCAAAGTACTTTGGGAGTGAAAAGAGAGTGGGGAAAAGGAGTGCCATGTTGCTTTCTAGACCCAGTTTTTGCAGAAAACTGTGACAGTACTGTAACCCAGAAAATGGTTGACGCTTAAGTATTTGAATAAAACAACAGGCAGTTCTGTTAACAGAGTAGTATTTCAGAAATGTACATTTTGCGTTGCCTGAAAAGTTGGTGGATGAATTGGGCAGTACAATTTTGGAAACACTTTTTTAGTTGAAAAATATTGCTGTTTAAGCTAATTTCTTCAGGGCAGAACAGAGAGCCACAATGTAAAAGACAGCCATTGTTGGATAAACATAGGGTAAAAAGTAAAGCGTGGGTAAAATAGGCAGCTTATTACAAAATTATGGAATAAAGCATCTATTATAAGAATTTTTGTACCCAGATGACATTATATGCTGGTCTGATATGGTGTGGGGGAAGCAATAAGACAATACTTGCTAAAAGAGTTCTGGTTGGCCAAGGTCAGTGCACTGTATTGCGTGACTGGATTAACATAGATACTGAAGTCTATAAAATTTCAATAAAACACATATACTTTTTTTCAGATAACAAGGTGGCAATGGAATGATTGCAGTGATTGATACTCATTTGTACCTGTCTACTTAACAGCATGTTCTAAAGTAGTGCTGAAACATGGCGGGATTAAATTTGGTGTTCAAAAGATCAATAAACTGATTTAGCTGTAATTAGTTCTACATTACTCTCAAAGGAATTTGCTGTCAGTGTCATGCTCAAGTGAAGGAGAAAAAAGAAATTTGATCTAACTTCTTAATACTTACATTACTGCTTTCCAGTAAAGCATGCTATTGCCCTCCTGCAAAGGACAGCTGGCTTTGTATAATGATTGAAACATCACCTCTCTTCCTGTCTGTTGAAAAATCCACAAATCCCACTTCTATTTGTCTACCTTCTATTAATTTATGATCACTAAAACCATGTCCTCCTCTCCTGTGCTTTCTCTTTGACAAATTCATTATTCTGAAAATTATCTGCAATATCTCAAATCAATGATTATAATTTCTGATGGGGGAACACGTAGCTGAATATAACACCTTGGTTCTTGTGTAACAAACAAATGCAAATGCCCTTGGCAATATGCTGAAGCTGTAAGACAAATACTTCATACTGAGGCAGTTCTCAGAGTTTCCTTTGAGCCTCGCTAAGGTCACTCTTTCAGAGCCCAAGCCTACACTGGCTAAATGGGAAAATTCCCCTTGCTCTCAGTAAATAACAGAACCAGAGCTTAAAAAACATTCTCATATTATTATATCATCGTCTTGCCCTTCAGAATACTCTTTGCAGCAATTTACAGGAATCGGCCAGATGCAACAACACGTAAAAAGTGAGTGGCAAGTACAAATACATAAAACCAGGTTTGCTTGTAAACTGACAGGAGGTGGAAGGTAAGAGGATGTTTTTACATTAGACACGTGTCTTTACAAAAAGCACCTTTGATATGCTTTTGTTTGAACAGCTTATGTGCACATTTTATAGTGTTTAATAAAAATAGTAAAAGCAGTGACTTGAAAAAGAAAGCCAAAATCTAACTTTAATCATAAAATGCATTTGTTTTAATCTCTTCTCTCAACTCTAATGCAGGAGATGGACTTTTATATAATTGAGATCAGCAATTTTTATTAAACTAGAAGTACGTATTTAAAAAATGTAACTTCTGATAAAAATGTTATGTCCCCCAAAGACACTTGGTGTATTACTCTACACCACAATGATATGAATTACATCTGAAGCCTTTAGTAAAGATTGGCGTACCAGGGTGACTTCAGAAATCAATCCAACAATTAAAAAAATCCCATTACAGAGACCAAAAGACTACAGAGTTTGACTGGATGACTCAACACTATGGATCAAAACTAATTTCTTTTAGAAAGCAGTAAGCTTTATTATTAGCATTAAATTGAAAGAAATGGAAAAAAAACAGCTACAAATTTTACTTCATTTTTACTTTAGTAATAAGTTTTGAGTTTTGTCTTTTCATTTATTAATTCTATTTTAGACAAACCTGTGTAAAAGCAACAGAAGGGTATAAGTCTCCCTTAACAAACATATCTGTGGCCTGAAAAATTAGTAAGTTTGGTCTTTTGGAATGCTGCTCATAAGAACCACCACTGATAATTGACATTTAGGTGCAATAGATGCCTTTCTGAATTCTATTATTGTATATATGTTGGTGACATCTAGATTATGACACTGTCTCACGCTACTGAGAACACTGGCAAGAATGAGCGTCTCGTCCAGCCATGCACAGGCAGGTGACAAATATACCTACACTCTGTGTATGAGTGTGCTGGTTGGGGCTGGGGTGGAGTTCATTTTCTCCACAGTAGCTGGTCAGGGGCTGTGTTTTGGATTTGTGCTGGAAACGCAGCTGCTAACACAGGGATGTTTTCGTTACTGCTGAGCAGTGCTGACCCAGTCAAGGCCTTTGCTGCTCCTCACCCCACCAGTGAACAGGCTGGGGGTGCACAAGAAGCTGGGAGGGGACACAGCAGGACAGCTGACCCCAGCTGACCAAAGGGATATTCCAGACCGTACGGTGTCATGCTCAGCGCATACAGCTGGGGGAAGGAGGAAGGGGGGGATGCTGCAAGTGATGGCATTTGTCTTCCCAAGTCACAGTTACGTGTGACAGAGCCCAGCTTTCCTGGGGATGGCTGAACACCTGCCTGCCCATGGGAAGTGGGGAATGAACTCCGTCCTTGTTCTGCTTTGCTTGCGTGTGCGGCTTTTGCTTTACCTGTTGAACTGTCTATCTCAACCCACCAGTCTTCTCACCCTTACCCTTCTGATTCTCCCCCCGGTCCCACCGTGGGGGAATTGAGCGAGTGGCTGTGTGGGGCTTAGTTGCTCATTGGGGTTAAACCATGACAGTGAGCTATACAAAAGCTGTACTTTTAAAGGTGAACAGTATGAAGATAGCACTGCAGTTATTTATCAAATCGTAGATGGATACATTGCTACAGCACACTACTAAATATAGCAGACATAGTGCTAAATGTTGCCTGCCTCGGGAGCACTCGCTTTGGTGGAATATCAGTGATAGTCATTGATAAGCAGTGAGGCAAGAGAATAGCACACACCACTGTCTACTCACTGCTGCGTGGATAAAGCACAGAGAGTGAGGGGTAGTAGCAGAAAAGTCTGTACACGCACCCTGCACAGGGAACCATAACCTTATAAACTCTCTAACGGGTACATTGATAAAGAAAAGCAAAACGAAAACTCAAATATTTTCTTACATTGGAGAAAAAATGAATTCACCATAATCACCGCTGTATAAGGCCGTTAGCCAGGGAGTGTTCCTGGCCTTCTTGCAAATTTTTTTTCTACTTTAACACTGAAATCATTAACTAGGATGCTTAACTAATTCCACCTATTCCAGCTTTTACACAGCAATGTAAACAGCTATAAAAACATGTTGTCCTTACTAAAAAATACAGCAAAACAAAAATCCCTTCAAATCATTCTTTTTCTCTTATACAAAAGGGATTATCTTTCACAAAGCGCAGTAAGCCATTTAAAGGTAATTTCTGAGACAGAAACCAAACACTTTTTTACTCACCACGTTTTCTTTATCACAATAGGAGCTGAAGTAATTTGAAATAATTACAGCATACTGAAGAAGCACTTTGTTGATAGTCTAGGAAAGGAGAAGCAGCTTTTAAATGGTAAATTTCATAATGTAAACAAAAAATAATTAAAAAAAACACAAAGAAGGAGTTTTATATATATTATAGGTTTTACAGGTGCTTACAGATTTAGTATATTGTATTTTTTTTAGACACAATGTAAACAGTCATGTGAGAACATTTTCAAATAAATCCCTGTACAACAGATGGTGGGTTGTTCTTAATGGAACTTAATCTTCAATAGCAGAGATACTTTGGGTCATACTGGTTTAGAGAAACTCAGAGAGCTCTACTCCTTGCAGTGTGCTACATTCTTAATGGAACAGTAGCAAGCTCAGCAAATCCTCCAGGGTGACAATGCAGAGATTAAAACCGTAATGGAAACCCCAGACCAGGGGAGCACTGCTCACAGCCTGGCAATAGGAGCTTACTACACAGTAATCATGTAAATAGGAACTTGGTTTGCAAATGGGAAACCGTTGCAACAGAAGACCAGGAATAAACGTAAATGCAAACTTTTTTAAAGCCATCAGAACCATAATGGAAACCTAAAGCTTGTGAGGAAATGTTACAATCCAGATAGAAACCTGACCTAACCAAGCTGAGTTTATCAAACAGCAAAAGAATAAGAACTACCACCTTAGGGCTTAAATCAACAATACTTCATAGCCATACCTTGAATTTTTCCTTCCTTTGCACTGACTAATTAGATAACTGCATTTCACCAAATTGCTTCTTTAACAGAATTGTAATCAGTGCTTAGCAAGAACAACAATTGATTGTATAACATACATAAATATGAAATATCAGAGATTGTAGAAATCCTCAAACTGGTAAATGATTTTGAGACAGTAAATGAAAAACAGTCTTAAGCCACAGCCATCATGTTTTTCTAAGGATCCCAGTCAGAGGTAGAAGACACTGATTCTCTACAACACTGAAATTACTTTGCTTTTAAGTACATGGCAACACAGCGTCACTCTCTGAAGCTTAGTTGAAATGCATTGATCTTAATTTACCTTTGCAAATCTTCTCATTAAATGAGATAGTGCTTCTGGATTAGGACACTCCAGTTTCCTAATAATCTCAAAGCTTTGATTGAGCTGTGTGAAGACATCAACCACAGAGCAAGAGAAGAGGGCATGATCTGATGTTTGCTGAAACTAGAAAGAGAAACAATCAAATGAGTTCCTTCTCGTTCAGAGAGGAAAACTGTATTAACTGATTTTCTTCACTTCAAATCATTCCTGGCCATCAAAAGTCATAAATAAAGAATAAATTAAAGTCTCACAGAAATGGGGCTTTTCACATTTCTATTATTTCAAACCACTTAAAAAATAAAACCAAAATTCTCTTTCATGACATCAATATCATATCACAGTTTAGTGGAACCACAGATTGAGTCTATGGGGACTTTAGGCAGGTGGAGTTAGAGCAGGAATTTATCCACAGGGTTATCTTCCAAGAACCAGTACTGACTTTGCATCTTGTAGGGTCTAACAAAGATACTGTGGGACCAAAAGTACTTCTGGTTTTGCAATACTAAATAACTGTCTTAATACTTTTAAAAATTATTTTCTTCAAAAAGTAAAGGCTCACCCCATCTTTTTTGTCTCTTTCCAGTGCTCCATGAAGAAATTCCATTGAGACATCCTCATTTTCATCCAGCCACTGCATGACAAATGGCTCAAACCACCTGAAAATCAAAAACACTTTTGTAAAGTGAAGTAAGTACATTTCATAAAGAACCTGAGAGGAGATATGCTGTACCACCCAGCAGCTTGGCATCTTGGGTCTTCACATCTGTTCTAGGTGCTAAAATGTCTATTATCCCAGAAAAATTTTTGTCACCAGAGACACTGTGGCTACCATGAGGTCTGTCAGACTTCAGTTTCACAGCACTCTAGCTGGTCTACAGCAGTGATTTAAAATTAGCAGTAGCCATCAGAGAAACATGTCCATGTTTTGCAGGGATCAGAGTCTGCACAAGGTTTTTTCTTTAAATTTAGAATGTGTCTTTTATCAATATCGGTTCTTTGTCAACATTTTTTATTTGTATGTGAAATAACTTTGAGAAAAATTTGCTTTAATACAACATCAGATGTGATTTATTTTTCTTTAGTTTATTTTAAAAAGTTAAAAAATAATAACAGGTCCAAACCATCTCAGCAAATCAGCAGCCTTGCAGAAGATTAAGGAATGAGATTAAGGTTAGCTCATACAAAAGGACAGGACTGAGTGTGTTAATTGCAGGAGCAAAGGAGAAAATTAAAAAGGCAGCAGAATATTAACCCAGTGCAGTAAGAATAATTTCAGTAATATGCGCCATTAGCATTTTGCCTTTATCCAAATTTGGGTATGAAACAAATGCAGTGGGGGGCCTATAACTGATACTGCTGCTGTTCCCACATTTCATACCTTCCTTGGGCATTTTCTGCCCAAAATGTTTTGTCATCTATCAAGGGCTACAGTTAGAACAGTTGGATAAAGTGTCCTATGAAACAGCTAATAGCACTCAATAACTGGACTATTTCATTTGACAGAATGAAGAATTAAAGAGAAGGAAGTGTGAAAAGTGAACATTTGTCAGTGTTGTGTACCTCCAGATCATGAGCAAGCTTCACCAAAATAAACCTTGCACCGAGCCCAAACTCATGGGGGAGTCCCCTGTATACTACTCACAGAGAGTATTCAGGCACTGCATCCTTGAAAGCAGAGAGTTCTCGCACATACTCGTTATAAAACCATTTCACTTTGAAGTGCAAATTCATGTAATCCGTGCTTTTGCATAACCACTGCTTTTCATGTTCTGTAATAGAAGGAGTTGGAATGAAAGCATTTAAAAGTATTCTAACAGTAAATAACATTCTTGTGCCTCTATGCACTAGTGACAAAATAATACAGTACTTGCATTTTAAAGCACAAATAGATTGCTTTTTTTAGAGGTTGTAGTACCTACAGTTTCAATCTTTAGGTTCTGAGAATCCTTAGGTAAAACCAAAACAAACCCAAGACCAGACTACAAGTTAGGCTTTCAACCCTCCTCACTGCAGTGAGGAAAACACACCAGCCTGCTGGCTTCCCGTGCTTTACATTCTTTGGTTGTTACAAAATGCTTCAGAAAGTGTCAGGTGTCAAGTCAGAAGAGACAACTCTAGCTGTGTAGTAGCCAAATGAAGTTTTTTTTTATTTTGGTAAGAGGTTTTCCACAACCTATTATTCTAGACAGATAGATGGCCAAACATTTCCTTAATGAAAGGTAGTTCTTGCAAGTGAGACCAGTCTTTGACTGAGAACAATTACCTTATTGCTATCAAATACACTGCACATCTACTGCTTGACTCATTATTAAGAAAAATCTGTCTTTTATTGCATCCCATAGAGTGAAATTTATGAAATGAATAGCATTTTTCATTCAAGTGTTGCATGAATGGGTCATTAGATTACACAGCGTAACTCAAGAATGTTTGCTATATTATCATAAACCAAGCAAATGCTTATTTCAGTTTTAGAAATGAGCTGCTGCCAACAACGGGCAAACTTGTCCAGGAGGATACAACTTATACAATACCATTCATTTATATTTATATTTATATAAATATATAT